GCAATTGTTTTGCGAGAGCGCACAAATGTTTTGCGAGAAAATGCAAATTTTTCTAGGAGAACGCAATTGTTTTGCGAGAGCGCACAAATGTTTTGCGAGAAAATGCAAATTTTTCTAGGAGAACGCAATTGTTTTGCGAGAGCGCACAAATGTTTTGCGAGAAAATGCAAATTTTTCTAGGAGAACGCAATTGTTTTGCGAGAGCGCACAAATGTTTTGCGAGAAAATGCAAATTTTTCTAGGAGAACGCAATTGTTTTGCGAGAGCGCACAAATGTTTTGCGAGAAAATGCACATTTTTCTAGGAGAACGCAATTGTTTTACGAGAGAGCACAAATGTGTTGCGAGAAAATGCAAATTTTTCTAGGAGAACGCAATTGTTTTGCGAGAGCGCACAAATGTTTTGCGAGAAAATGCACATTTTTCTAGGAGAACGCAATTGTTTTGCGAGAGCGCACAAATGTTTTGCGAGAAAATGCACATTTTTCTAGGAGAACGCAATTGTTTTGCGAGAGCGCACAAATGTTTTGCGAGAAAATGCACATTTTTCTAGGAGAACGCAATTGTTTTGCGAGAGCGCACAAATGTTTTGCGAGAAAATGCACATTTTTCTAGGAGAACGCAATTGTTTTGCGAGAGCGCACAAATGTTTTGCGAGAAAATGCACATTTTTCTAGGAGAACGCAATTGTTTTGCGAGAGCGTACAAATGTATTGTGAGAAAATGCAAAGTTACTCAGGATAATGTAACACTTTTGTAAGAGAATGCAAATGGTTCACGAGAGAATGCAAAAGCATAGAAATAACATTTCCCTTCTGATCTCATATTTTTTCCATCGCTATGTTCTCTTATAGGAGCTCCGTACTACAAGGCTACACAATAGAAAAGAAATAACACACAAAAAACAACATTTTTCCAAGTAGTGTTACATAATTTTCATGCTGAAGTCCTCTTGAGACAAAATCAGACAATCTGAGCTCATAAGAGTGTGTATTCAGCCGAGACATTCTCATGCACTGCACAAATCAGTGATCACTTGAACATGAGAAGAAAACCGAGCACCAAGCCTTGATTTCAGGTAATTGAGACCAGCTCCTTCACCGGAAATAATGACTCCCGACGTGTTTATAGTCTGTCTGGCTTCACCCGAGTGACCCACTCAGATGGCCAGTGAGATTCAGACATTGTATAATGATAGAATAGAGTCAAGGCAAACAGAAAGGCCTGGCAGTGATAGATGATGTTTGTGTGGAGGAGATAACGTAACACTCTCGCGGGTCAAAGTGGTTTACCATCCAAATTAGAGTGATCGATTCCTCAAAGCAGAGCAGTATTTGCTTAGTGTGTGATCACCCTGCAGGCTCGCCAGGATAGTTTGTGTACATCATCCTCATTTCAAAGTCAAACAAGCCCACCTATGATTGTGTATTTCTCTGTCAGTGGACAGCAGAGGGCGCTGAGCACATGGCCAGAACATCACTAGATGTAGGCTGTTTTCAACTTGTGTTTGAAATGTTTGGAAATAAAGCCCGAATTGTTTGATTTATATTATAGATTACAGGCTCCATTGCATTAGACTCTTTTAGCACACAGCAAGAACCGCATTAAGGGAAGGAAGAAATCTAATCTTACGTGTAGATAAGCGATGTAAAAATAGAAAAGTCATAAATGAGTCTTGAAAGGCTCTTACAGGCTTTAAAGTTAAATCACGAGTTAAATGCCTGGTTGTGCCTGAGCAAACTCTGGAAAAACGTTTTTTAATAGGCTAATTTTATTTGAAAAGGTTTCTGCAGGTGTGTCAAGATATCATGTTTTCCCACATCAGACCCAAAGTAACAGGGCCATAAACATTCATAAACAAAAAACTGTAGAAGCATGATATTTGAATTTAAATAAAAGCAAAATGTAGGTAATTAAATGCAACTTATTTTAAAATTGGTTTGCATTACATTACATTACATGCAAAACCATGTTAAATCTAAATATATATTAGATAAAAAATTTTAATCAACTGAGCCCTTCTGTAATGTTGTTTATTGATGTAAATAAAATATTAATTATAACAAGAAATATATATATTGGTGCTGTCAGACGATTAATCGATTAATCGCATCCAAATTAAAAGTTTTTGTTTACATAATATATGTTTGTGTATATTTAATATGTATATATAAATACACATGCAGCATATATTTTGAAAGTATAATACTTACATCACTAAACAACATTACAGAGAGTACAGAGTGGAGTACAGAAATAAATAAAAAATAGGTCAATCAATATTGCAGAATGTTTTAAGAGCTTTTTTTATCGGAAGAGATTTTAATAGTAAACATAAATCTGAGGCAAGTAATTTACAGTTATGTTTAAATTTAAGATATCTTGCTTTGTGAATGTGGTCTTTAAAGAAATTAAGACATCATATAGCTTTCTATTGCCAGAAATGTCAGAGTGGAAAGAAACACATTGATAGAAATGTTGCTAATCTAATAAAACACAAAAAACAAAGATGCTGAGATTTGAAGTCAAAAATATGTAGTATAAGAACAAAAATAAATAGGCGAGAGATTCTTCCTCTTTTTGGCAAAAGGAACACAGCGGGGAAATGTTTTGGTTAAATTTACTTACATTTATATTACAATGGTAGTAATGATGAATCGTTTTTAAATGGACTTTTAATAAGCTTTATTAAATGAATGATTATTAGTAGCAGTAATAAAATTTCTCAGATATTGATTTGTATGTTTTATATCCAAAATGCTAACCATTCATAGATTGTTTGGGGATATTCTAAATCATATTGCATTACAATTTGTAAGATTTCACCAGGAACAACAGATTAGAAGGTATAATATCTAGATGCATTTACCTCACATTTTTCAGTAAAATGTCTCACTGTTGCTTACAAAGTGCGAGATAAAGACATTGCCCTTACTAAACTAGTCAGGGAAAAATCTCAAGTTACAACCTGATAATATATATTGATTATTCCAAATTAAATGAGGAGAAAATTTGTTTAAAGATCAGCTTCCATGACTCAAGAGCTTTATAAAAGTTTGAGAGCTTCAGGAAGCCTTGTGCACTTAAAATCACAAGAAAGCAGAAAATGCAAATGTCCACATTTTAAAGGGTTAGTTCACCCAAAAATGAAAATTCTGCTTCTGTAATGTTGTTTATTGATGTAAATAAAATATTAATTATAACAAGAAATATATATATTGGTGCTGTCAGACGATTAATCGATTAATCGCATCCAAATTAAAAGTTTTTGTTTACATAATATATGTTTGTGTATATTTAATATGTATATATAAATACACATGCAGCATATATTTTGAAAGTATTTACATGTATTTACATGTATATATTTATTTTCATATAATTTACATCATATAAATATCTGTCATTAATTACTCACCCTCGTGTTGCTCGAAACCCGTAAGACCTTCGTTCATCTTCGGAACACAATTTAAGATATTTTTGATGAAATCTGAGGGCTCTCTGACCCTCCCATAGACAGCAAGGTAACTACCACGTTCAAGGTTCAGAAAACTACCAAGATGATCGACTAAGTAGTCCCGTGTGACATCAGTGGTTCAACTGTAAAGTTACGAAGCTACGAGAATAGGCGTAATGATCTGGGTCAGCGCGGTACTTTTCTGGACCTTGAACGTGGTAGTTACCTTGCTGTCTATGGGAGGGTCAGAGAGCCCTCTGATTTCATCAAAAATATCTTAAATTGTGTTCCGAAGACGAACGAAGGTCTTACGGGTTTGGAACAACACGAGGGTGAGTAATTAATGACAGAATTTTCATTTTTGGGTGAACTAACCCTTTAAAGGGATAGTTCACCCACAATTTAAATTCTGTTGTCATTTACTCTCAAGTTGTTCCAAACCTATAAGAGTTTCTTTCTTCTGCTGAACACAAAAGAAGATATCTTGAAGAGTGTTGGAAACATTTATTGAGTACTCTATGTAAAAAAAATACTGTAGAAGTCAGTGGGGACCTCAACAGAAGAAAGAACATTTGGGACAACTCGAGGGTGAGTAAATGATGACAAAAATGACATTCTTGGGTGAACTATCCCTTTAAAAAAATCAAACTTGGGATCCAAAGCCACACTGAACACCTGCTCAAATATTATTTTAGCCAATTAATTTAAAAAGACAGAATTATGTTAATTATGTACTTGCAAGTCATGAAGACACAAATGGCAAATGGTACAGTTTCCTTAGAATGACCCCACAATGTAATTAAAATTTTGCAATGTACTGTAAATGCATGTCATTTGTAAAATTGTAAATACATACCCTTTTAACTAAAGTACCAGCTTCTCTCACAGTCAGGACTGGGTCAAGTTTGCTGTACTTTTACACTGACATTTATTCCCGTACACACAGTCAGAGCTGCTGACAGTAATGCATGCGTGTCAAGGCCGTTCACTGTGGGCCGACACTCAGTGGGGATTATGGGTAATATGTTGTCCTCAAGAGATGCATGTTTCTCAACTTACAGTATCTATCATCCAGCAGTGAGGACAAGAGGCTGGAAATGAATTTGCTTCTCATTTTTCCTGATAAGGTACCTTAAAAACGTTAAACGTTTCTTCTACTACGCAAAGTGCACTGATATTCATCAATGGTTTTTAATTAAATAGTAATGCAATCTGAATTTAATTTGTGCTTATGCAACTCAAAAAGTGAAACAATGACAGTATAATAAATCACACAGGGTTGGTTTTAAAGCTGATACAGTTTATTAAACATGTTATATATCGAATATAATACATATGAGATCTTTTTGGCACCCCAAAAAATAATAAATATGTTCTTGTTAAGTCAGTGATTCTACATCTAAATAAATAAACAAACCATAACTTACTCTTCAATAAATATACGTAATTTGTTATATAGATGCATTGCATCAATGTTTATTGCAGTTGGTCAACAGGGTCCAACAATGCTCAAACTGAAAGGCTGTGTGTGTGTGTGTTAACAGGACATCCCACTGCAGCAGGTGGAAGAGACTGAGGCCATATGGACGGACAGATGAACTCTTCAGAGACTGCAGTTACTCCAAAAAAAGTAAAAGAACAAATACGATTAACCACAGAGTGACAGATTCAGATATGAATGAATTATACAGCACTATTTCTATTAGACAGGAGTGTTGATGTTTTGTTAACTCAGCTTGATCCTTTGACATCATTTGGAAATATTTTGTTCACCTAAAAAAGTGAAACTGTGCAGGAAATACATTAGCAAGCTATTTTTATCAGACCAGACGCTTATATTTTTGTTTGTAACAATGTAGCAGAGTCAGTCAATTTAAATGTTACTGTTTTTAGGTGTATCAGTATAAAGATGGATGAATTCTGTCATCATAGATGAAGATATTTGAGAAATATCTCAAGAAATGTCTTTTCCAAAATCACCCAAGTTCTTCAAAATATCTTCTTTTATGTTCCACAGAAGAAAGAAAGTCATGCAGTTTTGGAACAACATTTAAGGTGCGTAAATAATGACAGTGTTTTCATTTTTGGGTGAACTATCCATTGCATAAAAGCAATATCATACTAAAAATCTTGCATGATGCTGCTTAAACATTTTTTGCATATGATTTTTGATTATGAATGTGAAATTAGATTGTATTTCATAACTGTTCTAGTTCAGCATGCTAATAGATTCTTACAACCATATACCATGCACATTACTATATTATCTTCAATTTGGTTTTATATATATTTTTGTCCATATGTGAAAAAAAACAAAAACAAAATAAAATCAAAACCGTTGTTACAACAGCACAAAGTCTGCACACCTTTGCAAGCACATGGTTTGTTGAGTTTTAAGGCCGGGTGTTTGTTAGGGCTTAAGTCTTCTCCTGTAATTACATCAGTGCTCTAATGAACTGATCAGACTTACATGTGGCTTAAAGCGACACTCATCTGCTTCCTGAGCACAAGACATCGATTTCAACTCTCATTTCGATTCATCGTACTTCATTTGTATTCCAAATTCTCTTTCCAGTTACTATTGCGAGCAATTACTGCACGCATTTGCAGTCTGTTGACATCATGTGTACGTGTCTTACTGCAGCTGTAATCCACTAAGTGTAGTATTATATAATATTATTATAAAGAGTTGTTTTTATGTCAATGCAAACATGATTGACGACAGAAAGTCGAAACGAGGAGTTAGTTTCACTAGTATCTGCTTGCTTGTTTAATGCCTAATTACCAGAGATTATTTTGGTGGAGTTTAGAGCTAAAATCAGGACACGGTTTTATTTAGAGACTTATTCGATGCTTGTTCAGGTAGGTTCTTCCCTCTTTAGTTCTCTGTATTTTTGGCCAAGGCTTGACAGGAGCTAAAGTGGATTAGACTCTTCTGTTATAGGATTTACACAAATAAAGTGGATTTGGTCAGGTTAACTAAGGGAAGACCTCGGGCACGGATAGCCTGACACCGGCTGCTGCTGAGAGGTTGCCTTCGATTTCAGTACATTTGCAAGTATCTAGAAGAATGAAAACCATCCGATAGTGAGAGGAACCTGTTTCTGGAGGGATTCTTGATAGGGTGGGATCCAAATTTTTCCTTTGAGGAACAGTGCAAATTGACTTTATGATGGCAGCCCAGGCCAATAGTAGCATAATTTTGGCAAAGCACAATTTGGATATTATCAATGCACAAAAATCGAACAAATTTCTCTCTATAAAGAACCTGACTGGAAGATTCGGAGAACCTTGTGGAGACACTGCAACCTGATCTCACCGCAAATTGTATCTATTTTACAAGGTGGCGATTTCATATGAATTCACACAATGTGAAGTACAAAAATGTATGATTTGTCGCAAAAAAATAAGCATGAAGGTCTGCCCCTAAATGTAACCGTCACTTGGGCGTACATGGATTGTATGAAAACATACGAATGAGTATTAGCCACCAATTTGCCAAAATGCATATTAGTTTTGCAATGAGATTGTTTTGGACATTGTAGTATTGTTTCATAAATACATCAAATTTTATAAATTGGAACCCATTTTATACAGTTTTTTTGATCATTCCAATTTATCAGGTTCTGAAGGTTGGAATATACTACTTTTGCCCAGATTTTTTTGCCAAAAAATCAGAACCTGTCTGCGTATTTTGGCCAGTCGGATTTGACAGATTTCACAGGATAACACCTTGTCACAAGGTGCTAGTTTGTTGTGTTCGGAACGACTTGAAATTTCGGTACACTGTAAAAAATGACCGTGAATTTAACGGTAAAAGACTGTAGTTGGTATATTAATATTATATCAGTTAATGAAATTACGGTATTTAACTGTAAATTTAAGTTAAAACCGTAAAACCTAAAACGTTGCTACCGTATTTTTTACGGTAAAATTCTGGCAACCACAGCTGCCGGTTTTTTACCGTAAATTTTACGGGATTTTTTTTACAGTGTAGCGTGACCACCAGTTTTTCCTCTGTTACAATTTACAACGACGCCATTTGTGTTTTAAAATCCATCCTTTAGCAGATTATTAGGTTCCGTTTTTATCTTTTTATACATAACTTTTTGTTTGATTATTGTAGCATTTAATAAATGTAAATATTTTAATCAAATATTGGGTTTTCTTTTACAGAGCCATGTTGACCATAGCAAAGCTGAGGTAGATGTTTAGTATAACTAATGTGTCTGTTTGAATTTGATTTGTGGGAATGTTTTGCCTTTGAAATGTCAGAGTTGAAACCTTTCAGAGCCGCTGGGATCATTTACGGGTCAGTTACACAATGAGGAAGTTTTGTTCAGCATTGGGTGCGCCTTTGTCTACTTGCTTTGTTTACTGAAGCCCTGAATGAATTTTCTAGAGGTTTTTGACACTGAAACTCTGAGCATCCACCCAGCATTTCAAGCTATTTGAAATAGACCCACGAAGGCAATAGAAACAAGATATACAGCAGCATCTCATTAGCAACGACTAAACATGAGAATAATTATTTGCTTAATATATTTTTGGTTTCTCTTCATCTGGACTGGCAGAAGTATCTGAGGAGAACCTGTCAGCCGAGTATGTTTCGTGAAGGCAACGCAAGACATAAGCTCTCACCTCAGTGCTTTAAGCCCAGAAGATTTTCTTCTCAGAATCGAGGGTCTGTATTTTGTCAGAGATTAAAACATGTTATGTTTCCTAAACGTTTTGAGTACTCCGGTGAGTTTTGACCCTCAACGTCAGACGCATCTACATGCTTTGGCCGAAAACTCTTGGATTGTGTGGTATTTGTTGAAGTTATCGAGGAAGGAGATGTCCTCCTCATACGCGGTGGGCCGACAGCAGGGGCTGTGGCGCGCTTTGTCCTTCTGCTCCTTTGTTAGCAGCCACGAGCGCTTCATGAACGCCAGCGTCAGGTCATAGTTTTTGCGGCTGGTGGTGCACTTTCCACTGCAGTAATGGAAGACTATAGTCTCGTCACTGACGTATCCCAACCCCAGCTGACTGACCGTCACCTCCACCTCCTGCAGCGAGCAGGGTTTGGATCGCTTTTTTGCCCGTTTAGTCCTTTTGCTCTGCTGGGCATCTCTGCGGGCTTTCCTTTCCACCAGTGTCCCAATGACCTGCTTCAACTCGCCCTCTGTGAAGCTCTGGAACATCTTCACGACTGAGGGAAAAAGGAGGGTTAAATATTTTCAGTGTTTAGCATGGCAAAAACATTATTTTATTTGTGCACGCCTACTTTTTCAGTGGCGCTGATTAAGTGTTTTCTAAACAACCTGTCAGCATGTCAATAGTTTAGTGTGAAATACATATGAATACCTGTTTGAAAACTATTTTTTTTAGTTCTAGTTGGTTAGCACAGTGACATAAATGTACAAACTTTAAAATTGAAACTTCAGGGAATATTGGTTATCATATTTAGAGTTAAATTCACATGGAATTCTGTTCATGTGAAGTTGGACTTGAGCCTGACGTCTGGGAGGCCTGCATGCTAAATGCAATCTGATGTAAACAATGATAGGCTACGCTATAATGAACCGCTGTCACAACACAAGAGAACATAAGGGCTCGTCGTGATCTTACATTCTGATACGAGAGAGTTTCCTCCGTCAGCTGATCTGACCCTCCGTTGCCGCCCACCTGCCACAATGGTAGACGACGAATTGCTTGGTGTAAATGAAGAGGATGGAGGTGAAAGTGATGAGGATGAAGCTCTGCGGTGGGGAGGAGGGGGCGGGGCTCGGGAAGAGGGAGCGGCTTTAAGGACGAGCAGAGGAAGTGCAGCACCACAGAGAATCAGGCCGATGGCAGCAAACTTCCATAACTTCATCTTAGAATGAGGAGAAGCATTTGGCCCCTGCAAAACAATCAAACATCCATCACTCAAAACCAAAAAGAAACGCTGTTTTAATGTTTGCTATTCTATTGAGATTTTGGCATCACACATTTGGACAAGTGAAGCCAGAAACATTAGATATAATTTTCATTTTGTCAGAATATACGCTACAACTTGAATGGCTTTCAGTGGAGAAAGATACTTTTGAAACTACATCAACTAGCAGTCATTAGAGTATTAGTAGACGATCTGCTTAATATCTGCTAACACTTTATTTTGATGCTCCCTCAAAAGACATTCTACTGATTGTACCAACTTTGCAAGTAGCCTATATGTTAACTTTCTCTACTAATGCTAACACTGCAGTCTGCTAATACTCTAATGAGAGTTAGTTGAAATGTAATTGCAAATTAATGAGAGTTTAGTTAACATGTAGTTGCAAAGTTACTTATTGTTAGTAGAATGTCTCAAATAGGCTATCAAAATAAAGTGTAAACATATTGTCCCCATAATGGTCAATTGATTGAAAATTGACCATGATAAAATCAGGCCTATAATTCAGTCCATAAACTGAATGCTCGACATACACAAGCCATTTGAGAGAATGAGCTGGCTAATTTATATTAGCATTAGTATATATTGCCTTTTTATTTGAGGTATAAAGCATACATAATAAAATATTGTATGTAAAAAAAAAATATATTTATTATTAAAATATAAATAATTTACATACCTATGTAAATTATTTATTGAATGCCGTAATTTTCTGCAAACTTCTGCCACTTAAGGGGGAATTTGGGTGAGCAGATCCATAGCAGCTTTGGCACTTATTGCTATGAGGTTGTTATTGTTACAAAAAGCACATTTTGAAAGTCCATTAAAAACATGTCTTCATCTTTGGCATAGATGCAGTATATTGAAGGTACACATTATTTGGCAAAATGTTTGCGCAAACTAATCAACGTGAAAATCCACACATGCCATGGTGTTTCTTATTTGTGGTCTCTAACAAAAATAATAAATTAGATTACCTGGTTAACATACACATTTAAAGAAGTCGCTGCTTGCCACTTGAAAAAAAAATGTAATTCGCTAATGCCCGTTATAGCGCCCCTTGTGGCAATGCTAAAAATATGTATTTCAATGACGGAAGAAAAGCTTGTCGCTCGAAGCTTCTTATTTCTCATACTTGGGTAGATTGTGTTTTTATAAATGACATATATTGTTGAAATAAGTAATTAATATTCTACCCCCCCCCCCC